CTTTTAGTATGGTTTCCACGCAATCCTTTATAAATGAGACCCCTGAACTGTAATTTCATTGTGCTCAAGTACAATGACAATAAAGTCCTAATCTATTCTAATCTAATCTAATCTAATCTAATCTAATCTAATCTAATCTAATCTAATCTAATCTAATCTAATCTAATCTAACAAACATTCCCACGTACTTCTGCCCAGGGTTTTCCAGAAACTACATACAGTATTTTTAAGAAATTTGACTGATGCAGGGATAAACAAGTTTTTAAATCTAGTAGTCCTACATCTGGTCAAATGATACCTGAGTCCACATGGAAGCAGCCTGAAGTCACCATGAGTGATAAGGGGTCTGCCAGAATCCTTTTTTACTAGCTGCACTCTGTGAAAAATCCAAGAAATTTATATCAGTGCACAACCTCAACAGCGTCACGATTAATAACGACAGCAGTGGCAACCAAAGTGTGTTTCCTAAAACCAATGACAGCCGGTCAGACAGAGAAGAAGGAAGAGAGACAGGGATAAAGAATTTATGGACTTGATGAGGGAAGACATGAGGCAGCAGAGAAAGTTGAAGGAGAGGAGGGAAGAGAGGATAGACAGGCTGTTCTCTATTTTAGAAAAAAATGGTACAAAAATTAATGTGTTCATGGAAAAATATTGTTTAGTTATGTTATTGTTATTTTGTTCATGGTTTTATAAATTAAGTTCAAATAAAGAAATTGTTACAAAAAGTAATTGAAGTGGTCATTCAGAAACTATTGAAGAAACCATTGAAACAAGTTTAGAACTTTTTTCAAAGAATTTTATTATTTTCTTTAAAAAATTACATAAAATTATTTAAACATGACAAAAACAAACTATTTTAAGCATTTTTAAACTACTGTATATACAATGCTAAGCAGCGAGTCCCTGACAATGCTGATAAAATGTTGGGCTGACACCAAAGAAGACCTGGTTCCCCTCTTCAACAGGACATCATCTGGGTGGACTGCAGAACCGTTGACACGCCATCGGCCCACTGTCCACCACTTTGTCCACGAGCCGGGTTTGCAGGGCTGGCAGAAACGACGGCTGCCATGTCACTGAAATGATTTAAGAAAGTGTTACTAATAGAACATTTTAGGTTAAAATCAGTTGCTGCTGTGTGTTTTACTTGTCTCAACAATAGTCATGGTCCACGGGTGCCTCCTCCAGGGCTGAAACCTCTGCAGCTATGGAGTGGAAAGTGGGAGTGGTCGCTGCAAGCAGGGGTATCCTCCATCAGCGAGGATGAAGTGCCCTGGAGGAGGGTAGGCTGACCTGTACAAGGGGCTGGGGCATAGCACCCTTGAATCATGGACAGACCCAGGCCAGCCTACGTACATACAGTATCATTGAAATGGCCCTGATGGTCACAAACTGCCTGCAAGATAATAGAATGGGAACAGTTTCATATTCTTGTAGCCGTGAACATCAGGGCCGCCAGGTGGCTTGATCCTGACATGGCAGCCATCGATTGATCCAGCAGCTTTCCTGAAAGCGCAGTGTCTTGCCAGCCCTGCAAACCCTTGACCCACAGCTTCCAGGTCCTCAGCTGTAGCTGGGAAGTGGATGACCTAGTGGCCAATGTCCATCACTTCCTTGGTCACTCTGTGGATAATGCAGTGGACAGTGGAACAAGGCATGTCAAAGGCCCTAGAGACCACCCTGTATGAGGACCCACACAACAAACAGAAGAAAACCAGGGTCTGAATGGTGGCACCCCATCCATGTTGCCGTTCTCTGTTCAACTGGTTCATCAGCACTGCCAGGGACTCTCTGCTCAGCGTGAAGATGGTTCTGGTGTCCTGCCCATTATAAAATGCCTGGAGCACTGGAACTGTTAGGTTCAGCCTGCAGTACTGTGATCTGATTTGTAAAGAATAAAAAAAATTCAATACATTGGAACATACACACTTTAAGAAAACATAAAACAAACACACACACACAAACTTGTTTTTATATCCTTGTGGGGCCTGTCCTTTGACTTCCATTCATTTTTTGGTAATTTTATATCCTAACCCTGACCACAAACCCTAAGGCTAATCTCAAAGGTACCTTCCTGACCCTAAAACAAACCTAAACTCAATTCACACTGTTATGGCAATATTTATTTAACAAAGACAGAAATACGTGGTCCAAGAATGAAGGTACTCC